AAAAGGTGGAAGAAGGGACGGTAGATATGCAGAATATCCATACCAAAGATAACATAGCAGATTTCATGACGAAGGCGATCAAAGCTGATAAATTTACCTGGTGTCGATCCTCTTGTGGCCTGTCAGAAACGTAAGCAACATGAAGGTACAAGGTAGAAAGAATGGTGTGAAGATATGATTGTTCCAATCAAATCTTCAAGTGGGAGATTGTTAAAAGTCATCATGGGCGGCTAATCTTCTAGATGGAAGCCAACTACTTTGATTTAATTCAAAGATGGTTGCATTTTGTTGAAAAAAAGGGGGATAATTACAACATTTTAATCATTAAACTTTAGGGTATTTACAAGATTAAGTCCTTAAGATTTAGCTATAAATACCCTATCCCATTTAGCTTCAAAATCATCCCAAAGCATTCTAGTTTTCTTCCAATACTAGAGAGAATTTAGAGAGTTTCTTGAGAGTTGTTTTCTCCTTTTTATCAAGAGAGAATTATCATTGTTTTCTCCTTGGTAGATCGAGAGAGGTTGTAACTCCTATTTTCTCATAGTGAAATTCTTCTACCGTTGCCCGTGGTTTTTACCCTATATAATTTAGGGATTTTCCACGTAAATTTTGTGTCTTTTTTTATCTTCATTTTTATTTTCTCAAATTATCAGTTGCGATTTTGCTCTATCCGATAGCCGTCTTCCGCAACAAGGTGCTCATTACTTCTTACTTGTCTTGTTTCCTACTTCAGTATAAATGTTTGTTGAATCTTGGAAAATATATATTTCGTGAAATATATTTACAAATTGTGTCTACTACAAGTCTCGAGCAAGTTCAATCATTATATTTATTTGACGAATTATGTATTTGCAATCTAATTTATTTTAATTTAAGTCTTATTATGTGTGTTTTGTTCATGTTATTCTAGTCCCGTCCATTAATGTTTTGTATAATATTTATCTTAATTAATCGTAATTATACTACGAATGTATTTATTATATTTATAATTTTTGTTTTATGAATTGTATTACTTTTAATTACAACCATACTGATTTACTACTTATAATTGTAACATAAAAAATTACAATTATTTAATTTTTTAATTCAAATAACATATCATTATTTGATTAGAAAAATTGTGTACAAAATCATGCAATATATAATATATTAATCCAAATATAAAATCAATTATATGATCGTGGACGAAATTATATACATTACATATATGCGAAGGGAATATGACCTACGTTTACCCCCCCCCCTCCACACACACACAAACATTACCTTGTCACTGTACTAGCCTTAAAATTATTGTAAAAGAGATTGATTCAAGATGTATTTGAACATATATTATATTATAATTATTTAAGATTATTTAAATAAAAAATAATGATGTGAGATCGATTCGAAGGTGACTTCTCCTAGATTTTACCCTTTTCTATATAAATGTCAGAAACACAAATTATTCCAGTTTTTGTTATTTAGATTCATAGATAATATATTTCATGTGTGCAATGGTAAGGTTATTTTCAAATTAAGTTCTTGATCATTCTACCTTATACCTCGGCATAAGGCAAATAATATAAGCCTCTGATCGATGATTATTTGCTCTTTTTTATTTATTTATACATCAATCGATTTATAGGATGAAGGGCAAAATGACAGGCCATCCATCCATAGCCATTTGAACAAATTTGTGGAGTTCAATAGCACCACGACAGCATTATATATTTCTATCCACATTTATGAGAAATCAATTGAATTTCCTTCACATAATATCATCTTTAATGTTTAAAACAAAAAAGGAAGAGGCTGGAAGTTTCATGTGAGAGTTTTAGCTATGGACATGGTTTGTTTGTTGAAATGGTATCAATGAAAGGAAGAAAATGGTATTAATGTTTTTGCCAAATGAAGTGATGAAGAGGAAGAGATGGGGTTAGGTTAGGTGGTGGGTGGCAGACAAGAAGGTGTTTGGCCGAAGTGGAAAATGGAACACAATAATGCATTCGTTTATTGCACAACACACTTCCTCTTGCAACACTAAGCAAGTTGTTTTTAGGATCAACTACATATTTAGTCATTTATCTATTCTTTTGTTTTTATTTAAATTATTTAACTATTTTTTTTAAATTTATTAATTGCTTCAATGGTAAAAGAGAGTGATGTTCTCTCTAGAGATTTCATTTGAGCAACTGTGTATACATGACATGTGCGCGCGTCCTTTTTAATTAAGTAAAAGAATTTAAACATATATTACCTTATAATCATTCTATACTAATAAAAAATAATTTTGAAAATGATATCTAACATTTTATTTCTATTTTATGGTAAACAGAAATAAAATGTTCTGATGAAACTAATACAATTAGCATGTCTAACCCAGTGGCTAGGCAACTAACCCTTTTCTAAGAAGGGCACGGTTTGAATCATGGGGTAAATAAAATAAAAGTATAACATTAAATATAATCTTAGATAAAACAGTTAGATAATTAAAACAGAAACAACATAATAAATAAGTGACCAAATATGGATTTTACCTTTTTTTTATTGGATTGAGAAAATAAAGGATAAAAAGGTTTTGGAGACAAAAGAGAAAACGTTAGAAATGTCAGTCAGGCCAGGGCTGAGACTGCAGAAACCTGGTGGTGAAGTGGTCCAATTATCGCAGAAATCGACACATCAAATATGCTTTTAATAATGTTGGGGCAAATGAAATTGTGGAGTTTAATGTCGTTTGTTTTGAAGTGCGTGATTTCTTATCACCTAAATAACTGAAATTCTATTGGATGGCTAAGGGATAAGTCCATGGATCCAATCTTAGGATGCCACCATTCAAAGCAATCAAAACAAGTATGTGCCTTTTCTTTAGTTATGAAGTCTTGCTTATTTTCCTTTGCTTTTTTACTTTTCTCGAGTGCAAGCCAAGTCTTGCTCTTCCCCTTGGATCTTTCTTCTTATCCACAATCCAAAAAGCTTAAAAGAAAAAAAGAAACTCTCAGCACCATTCAGCAATAACTATTTCCTACTACTTGAACGTGTTCAATGGTCGTCAATACTTGTAAACTTAAAATGTCACACAAGTATATAAATGCAAGATTTTATATAACATGTTGAGTTTGGAACATATAAATAATTAAGTGATCATTTTGTAATTTTCGATGGTCGATAGATTCAATAAAGCAACACCCTATAATTATGTGACCATTTGTGTATTTTATAAAAAGAAAAAAACAAATCACGCCTATATAAATGTAACCTAATGTAATATCGTACAAAACCCCATGAATCAGTTTAAACGGAAGAAAAAGAGTAACGGAGAGGTTTAGAATGAGGATTGTGAGTTGGTAGGTGATATTGAGAAATAGAGGGGAGTGGATAAGATGTAGAGTTGGTTGGTTGGCTCATTTAGAGTGGCTGAGTAATGCTGTGAAGTCAAAGTCAAAGTGAAATTAAAAGATTCCACCGTCCAAAACTTTTTGAAAGATTTTGATTCCACAACACCATCTCTCTCTCATTATTTTCCATGTTTGTTCCTTAGTTTGCCACTTCTGACTAATCCCATAAGCTCCTGGATTTGCATGCTTCAGATTTGAAGTTGCTATGCAAAAAACCAGATACAAAGGATTTTAGGTTGAAACGTAAACCAATGAGCAAATTTGTTACTGGTAAACATTTATGTCAAAGTTTATGATTTAAATTGTTTACGAGATCTAATTTATAAAGAAAAATGAACAGAAGAAAATTAAGATCTGAGATGGATATACAAACTTGCAGGTTAAAACAAAATTTGGCATACATTCAATTTATACAGGCTATATTTTTCTGTAATATAATGTAAATTTTCAATCATCATTACCGTCATTTGGTGCTCGAACATGCGATCTTTCAAATAATTGTTGTGGTTTATAATGATTTTTTTTAACAATGGTTATTAGAATGGATTTTTGTGTCGTTTAACAAGTCACGCAAACATAAATATCTATATTTGAATAAAATTTTAGGGTAAACTACATGCTTAGTATCTAAATTATTACTTTGTTCTGTTTTGATACTCAATTTTTTTTTCAAAATCCTACCTAACATTTAGTTTAAGTTTTATTTTGGTACCCATTGCTAAAAACTTAATAGTGATGTTAACGAGTCACCATAAGATAATGTCACGTCATCATTGAGAAAAATAAAAATATCACGTCAGTAGTTCTATTAATTTGTTATTGGTGGGGTATCAATTGAAACCAAAACTAAACGTTATGTATGATTTGAAAATAAAATAAAATTTGAGTATCAAAACAGAACAAAAATAATAGTTTAGATACTAAATGTGTAGTTTACTCAAACTTCAAAGTATCTTTTGTATTTGTTATTATCTTGGTAACAATTGAACTAAGGCCCAACCTAGAAATGTCAGCCTATGGGATCACTTCATTTCTGGACCATTGGGCCAGACGCATCCAACTTATTTGGCATGGGATGAACCTCGTAATATAATCTTCTCCGGCGACTTGGATTAGAACGGAGCAATCTATTGGCAGTTGCAAATGGGGACCAAAACCAGTTGAAAGTGAAACCTGCTTTGAGACAAAGACTATGCCGCCAAATGTCAATTTTGAAAGACGTACGCCCCAAATCCGACCAAAAGAAATCGTAGACAAAGGTGAGTGCTTGTATTCATAAAATTGGTAGGGTAGGCTAATTGAGTAAGAAGAGCTGTATTACATAGGCATTTTGAGTTGTAAACATTTCGGCTGTGTAATTTGAGCATTTGACCAGTGAGCCAACAGGGAAGTGGGCAAGTTCTTGTGATCCTTTTAGACTGTATATGAGGCTTTATTGTTAATCGGAGAACCTAAGGATCATCTGTTTCATATTGTATATAGCTTAATATCACAGTTTCTTTTTCTTTGCAAAATAATAATGACGATATATATAGATTCCAAAAAAAAAGAACGTGATTCCTTTCCTCTTATTTTGTTCCTAAGTGGATAATTTAACCTTGATAAAAAAAAAAATTCAATTTAAACGGGAACGACTCATTCCCCTAACTTAAGTTTGCCTTTGCCTTATCATACATCAAATAAGGATACGGCAGCGACCTCACAAAACTAGATTGTCTCACTATTCACATAATATTGATGTTATGTGCAGATCAGTATCATGAATTTGATGGTTTTCGAGCTACAGATTTGGGATCAGAACCACGCTTCGTGTATAAGGAGCCCACAGCTGGAACTTCAGTAGCTGGAGTAACCGTGGTTGATAAAGGCTGGAAATTGGTGCTCCCAATAAACCAGTAGAGAGCCCATTTCAGATTGCACAGGGTATATTTCAGAGCCTTGGTCCAATTCTCTTGCTTGTTGAAGCTTTGCGTTATAGAGTAGTTTTCCACTTTATCGTTCTCAATCCTGTAAAACACCACTAATAATACACTCAAGAATTTGGATATACTCCATTTAGAACTCATCAAAATCACATTGATACTTCAGATTCAAAACACGACAAATAGTAAAATTCTATATAGAAAGGAAATCTTACTTGTAGGGCAAGTTGAAGCATTTCTCAGGTGGAATGTTGTTTTCTAGATCCTTGGCATTTGCAAACTCGGCAAAGTCCTTAAGGCATGTTAAGAATAATGTCATTGCTTTGTCGTACCGTGTACTCCAGAACAAGTTCACAGGACCAAACCTATAACACAGCAAGTAGCTGAAAACATGCAATAAGCGTGATCCATAAAACACAAAAGATGAAATTTCCAGGATTAGGATGCACCAATGCTTTCAGGTTCACATGCTTGCACTTTAAGATTCTGAATTAAATCATTCAAGTTAAAATTCTTAACACTTACAGCTCATATGTATTGTTGTTGCTGTCCATTATGCGAGGGTAGCTTCCCAGAGGAATTATCTTTATCCGATAGCTAAAAGTCACTGATTAAGGATACATCACATATCACTTTATAAACCACTTTAGTAATGAAAGGTAACAGAGTTCTTAAAAGTTGGCATACCAGACATTTTAACTATTATTTTACCTCACAGGTGGGATTCATATAAATGATAGCATGGGGAAAGAGTTGACTTCATTCAATTTGATCAATTTCTACCCCACAACCCCCACACAAAAAAAGCCTGGCGTAAATGCTCATGGGAACTACTTCATAGAGTAACACAGATTGGGAAAAGGATACTGAAATTTTGGTCGGAAATATTGGCACATTGTATGAAGTAGGAGGCAGGCTTGACCCCAGGCAGCATTTATTTCATCCCACTCAACCTAAACCAAAAGCAAGAAATATCAGTCCCTCTTCACTACCAGGAAAAACAATTTTCTAAATGGAAAATGATGCCAATTTCTTACTGGAATTTTAGGTAGTCGTCCAAGACGAAAATTGTTAATAGTTCCAAATTCTCCATCGTGCCAGATGGGGAAAGCATCATTGAGCACATTAGTTCGCTTTAACAACTCTAAATGTGCTTGTGAGACTTCAGTCTTCGCCAAAATTGCATCTCTCTCTTCCTGTTAAGCAGAAGATTTTACATATGTAAGAAGACAGTTAAGAAGTTCACTTTGTTACTTGAAAGAAAATTTTGTTTGCAAATGTTGATTAAATACGTATATAACACTTTAGCATGAAGAAAAGTTTGATGCAATAGTATAGTATTCAAATTAACATTAGTAACATTGACATTTGCTGAAGCATCTTGGACTGTCTTAACCGATCATACTAAGTCAAAGAAAAAAATGGTCAAGAAACCACATCAAAAACAAACCTGATGAGCGATTAATTGAAACTGAAAGTTGTTAAATTCTTGCCAATACCTGTTACGCATTGATTCCAACAAGCATAAGGATCTGATAATTAAAAACCCTGGCTATATACAAACTAAGCTGTGCTTTGCATTCTAGATTTAAAAAGAGATGGAAGAAGGAAAAACAAAAACAAAAGTGTTGGGACACTACAATTTAATCTGAGAACATATAGAAGAAACTTACCGCTCTTCCAATTCTTCAAATCGGTTTGATTTTTGCTCTAATTCTTTTAGTTCAGCATTTACTGCAGCATTCTGTTTTTCTATTTCTTCAATTTCTGCTTCAAGCTTTCTTTCTTCTTCTTCAATCTTATAGAATGAACAGACAATCAAATATGCATTTAACTAGGAAAATCATTCAAATAGACAGTTGATGCTTATATAATTATGAAGAACGATCATTCACTAATATTCTGGTCTACTATTAATATTCCTTCAATATTATACTGCGGATTAACTTTGGGAGAAGTTATTCCTTTTTATGGATTTTTTTTTGGCTAATTCAAAGAGACTCATCCAGTTAACCAATGACAGCATCTTGGATACCTCATATATTTTAACAATCCTAGCCATCTACCAACTACACGAGTCATTTATGATACCCTGTTTTGAAACCCAAAATTTATTCATATCTTTTACTGAACAAAAAATTAGAGTGTCCAGACATCAAAAATATATGAGAATCATGATTTTTATCCTTTAGCATATATGTTACTCATAGAGACTGCCAAACAGCTACCTTTAATTTCTCCTTGCGAAAATCGGCCTCGCTGAGAACATCTTGTGTTCCTCCCTCCAATCGCCGAAGACAGGCTTCATATGCTTCAATGTCCCTGGTCACATCTTCAACCTCCTTGTCAAGTTTGTCAGACAACACCCTCATGCATTCAAGGCATAACGGTTGCTCAACCTAAAAATTCCCCGAGAAAGCAGAATAAAAAAAATTATCCTCACTGCAACAACTGAATCACCAAAATGGAAAAGCCAGAAAGCAATACCTGTGTCTGAGTAGTGGCAATCTCAAATGCATTTTTGAGAACAGTAATAGTTGAATGAAAACCAGAGTTGTTCGGCTGCAAAGAACTGCTTGCTCCACCTTCTGATGATGGTAATTGTGTCCCACTTCCATCAGCAGCAGACTCCGACTTGTAGACCACTACAAATGATTCTTCCATACCTTTCCTAGGTTGGCCTGCATCAGGCTGACCAGGCACACCACGAGGTCGTGGAGGGATCCCAGGTGCCAGTGGCTTTTGCTTTGGCAGCACAACGAAAGAGTTATCCATTCTTGTTGAACCCAGCACGCTGCTAGCTCCATGAATTGAAGACCCCTGCATCGCTGCATTGTTCATGCACACCATGTTTTTAGAAAGAAACATCAGTTTGAATTATTTTGCTATTATAGTCAGGTTTAGCATTTAGTAACCAAAATTTGATAAAAGAATTGAAGAATCCACAACGTTTGGATCTCAATTTCATCTCAAATACGTGCAGATAATAGGAAATTCCCAAATTGTCTAAGCTTGCAACTTACTCGACTCCAAAATCGAAGAGAGAAAAAATAATATAATAGGAATTATTTCTCAACTAATTAAACTGAAAAAGAAGATTAAATTCAAGAATTGGACACAAGCAGAAGAAAATTGTGAATTTAAATGGGAAAAGATCGGAGAAACCCTAACCCGAGCGAGAAGATTCGTTTGGGAACTTGTCGACGTAGGAATCAACGCCGACGATGCAGAGGGAATGGTGACAGTTCTGGCAAACCCATTTGGGGAGATTCGGATCGACGGGTAAGCTTCGGCCTTTATCGGGTATATCTTCGTTCTTCATTTAGCTCTTCGAATTTTATGAGAGGAGCAGATTTTCGGGTTGTCGTGCAATTAGGGAAGAGATGTGGGTTTGCTTCTATGCTCGAGGAACAAATCACAACAGTTTTATTATGACTCTTGGTTCCCTGATCAAATAAAACCACGGATATTTTGTCCACAATTATAGTTTTAGTCCCTCTAGTATACGTTTGATATTTAATTTTAACATTTTAATTTGATAACTTTTTATTTTTATTTTTATGACATTGTTAATTAACTCAAATTAAAAGTATTAAACACTACTAGTAAATTATTAGTTTTAAAAATTCCAATGTAATAATTTTCAAGAAAAAAATCCTTAGATATTGTGTTAATATATAAATTTTCTATTAGATTAAGTTATTTGATACTATTCTCAAAAAATATTTTATATCATTAAATGAATTAGAATAAATATTTATCCTAAAAAGGGATAATAGTTAGCAGTCATAGATATAGTTTATCCTAAAAAATTTAATAAATATTTATATTTATTAATAAATATTTTAAAATAAAGAAATAATAATTTGTTTTCTAATTAACTTACTATTTGAATTAACTTATAACATCAAACTCAAACAAACGTTTAATAAGTAATATGTATATATATAATTGTGGTGATAACGATTTGAAATAACTAATTACATTGGAAAAATAAGAGATCAAATTATATCAACATGAAGGGTTGAATTTCAATGTTTTGCATGAAAAGGGACTAAAACAAAATATTTGACTTTTTCTTTTAGGATTATCAACACCCGGTGGAGTTGACCCGAATATCAATTATGTTACTCATAAATTTAAACTCTGGGAAATTAGGGATTCTTTACAATCGGGATCCCAATTCCCAACCCTAATTTCCCCCTGATCCCCAAATTCGTTTCAGACGGAACAAAGAAATTTTACTCTCAAATCACGAACGTATTATTATGGAAGATCATCAAATTAGCGGAAACGGTATCAGCAACAAGAACCTTAACCCAAGGCAGTTTCAGCTGTTCGTTAAACTTCTCAATGGTGGGACGTTGTCGCTCCAATTCCCGACCCCTCAAATCCAAGTCGGCGATGTCAAGCACCGAATTCATGAAATTACCAAAATCCCTATCAACTTCCAGCGCCTGATTCGCGGCCATCAACTCAATGACGATTTGGTGATTTCCACGCCCTCAACCTCTCCCTACGGCTTATTGGTGGCAAAAGAGGTTTCGGATCGCTGCTACCTGGCGCAGCCACGAAGGTCGGGCAAAAAAAGACTAGCAAATTCGAGGCGTGCGGAGACATGAGCGGAAGGAGGCTGAGGCATGTGAACGCGGAGAAGAGGTTGGAGGAGTGAAAAGCGGAAGAGGAACAGAGGAGTTTGGAGAAGATCGCGGAGAACTTTATTAAGAAGAAAACAAAAACTAGGAAAAAATGAGCTGGAGATGGAGAGGCCGAGAAGTATAGGGAGGAGTCAGCGAGGTGTGTGGCGGTGGTTGAAGAGTCCGTTAGGGCAGCGTGCCAAAATGGAAAGCGAAAGGCGGTGCCAGAAGGAGCTGACCCCAAAAAATTGAAGATGTGGTAAGTTTTTAAGATCATTTGATTTGCTTGTAATTTAGGTTGGTATTAATATTTTGATCATTTATTCGTTTTTGTTTGCTCTTATAAGATGGGGAAAAGGAAAGTGGATGAGAGTGATAGTGATCATAGCAGTGAGTATGAAGAAGAGAACGAGAATTCTGTAGTTTTAAACAATGGGAATCATTCTTATTCTAGTAAGGGAACTGAGGGGAGTTCTGGTTTGGTTTCGGGGGGAAATCAGGATATTGAATTTTCAGGTGGCGCCTCAAGTGAGACTGGTTCTGAGGAAGAGAAAGAGGTTGTTCTGCAGCAAAGCTCGGAATCTTGTGGCGAAGATGCTAATGTCATGGTTGAAGCAGATGTCATTGCTGGAAGTGAAGCAGTTCAAGCTGATGAGATGTTGGGACATAATGGAACTAAAATTGAAAATCCGGTGTAAATATTTGGTCAACATTTCAGTGTTCCAGTTGCAGAAAATGGAGGAGTTGGAAGTGAACTTAATAATGAAGTCAAGTTCTCTTCTAAACCGGAATCAGAAGTTCAAAAGGAAACAGTAGTTTCAAATGCTAACATTACAGAACCCAAAAAGCCATTGAACTTTAATGACTTCAATTCTTCTGAAGAGATGGAGGTATGGTTGAACACTTGAAGTTTTTACCTGTTTCGTAGGCTTAATACTAGTAAAGATCAATACCATTGATACATCTAGCTTGTTAAAAAATATTACTTTCAGTGAACTCAATGATCGCAAGCCTAGATGATATAGGATTTTCAGCAGTTTGTAGCTGTTGGCTTGTTGCAATTTTATCAAATGCTTTCCTTTTGCCCAAGGAAATTTGGCCATAGCTATTTGATGTTATATTAGCTTTGTCTTCATGTTCTTGTGTAAAATGTTGTTGGACCAGACAAATTGAATAATTGAAGAAAAGATATCATGGAGGGAAATTTAAAATCAGCATATGAATTGACATGCCATGGGCCTCATGGTAATGTTGTTGCTTTTTTAATGTTTAAGGACGATACGTCATTAACTCTTTTATCATTTCTAAATGTTCTTGGATTGGAGCGGCTGAAATCCGAACTGCAGGCATGCGGGCTAAAATGTGGTGGTACAGTGCAAGAGCAAGCTGCCCGTCTTTTCTTGCTAAAGCTTACCCCTTTCAATAAGCTTCCAAAGAAGTTGCTCGCAAAGAAATGAAATAATCATGTAGTAGGCTGAGGCTTCATATAACGTCGTAGTGTATTGCTAAGGAGCGTCTTTTTATCAAACCAGGAAATGTGTATATTTCTCGTCATGTTTAATACTGTATGGCTTGGTTCTTGTAAGGTGAAACCCTGTTAGCTAAAGCGATTGGGACATTCTCCTGTTTAATAAACTTGTCTTTGCCTAAACTGAATGTTCGGATTTGTGGAATGATAAATGTTTTAAACTTTAATAGAACCCCATTCTTCGCCTTCTTTCTTACCCTTATGATGAAATGGAACAATTCGTGTCCTAAGTTTCTGTTCATTTTTTTATCCTTTATAATATCAATTAGGTTTATCTTATCTTTTATAAGAGTAATCTCTGCTTTTATTGTCGTTGTTTTCCACTAAAGTCCATCAACTTTAATCCTATGAATAACATCTCAAATAATCTTCTCTTCCTTTTTAACTATGGTTCCGACGCGTTTGAAGCACTCAGTTACGTGGATCACTTGAAAATAATTCTTTATTTGACAAAATGTACACTTGGATTTGTTGATACAAATTTAGGTAAGCAATAATAGAGAGGTTCAAATGGTTGTCCGAAAAATCTCGTGATTAATTGATGTCAAGTATATATGATAATTATGATATGAAAAATCTATCAACATGTATTTTCTGAATGTGATTGGAAGATTCTTTAACGTGTTGAAGAATCTTATGTGAATTCGGCCGTCCATATGACGCTTTGTTATTTGAAGGAATATTAATCGACCTAACTCTCTCAGGTAAGGTATTGAAATGATCCTTTAAACCAAGTGGTAAGTAAGGCAATTTTATCCGAAAATACCTCAAAATATTAAAAATTTCTGATTTAACATCTTTCTCTAAATATTACCTAAGCTAGTATCCCTAATAAAATCCTTTCTGAAATCAAAGTAAGAAGGTGCGTTTGGGGTAGTGCGCTTTGCACACATGGAGAGAAAGCACATCATGAGAAAAGCGCCTTCCCCAAATTTTCATGAAATATATTTAAAAAAATATTATAAAAAATTAAAACTATAAGGATGAACAATATATTTTAATACATATTAGTTTCATGAGTTAAAAGAGTCTAATGGTGTTAGTTTATATAGACATAGTGAAGTTTTTATGTTATATTTGCTAACAATGTGAAATAACAATTAAAAATAGATCTTCTATCTTTTTCTCGTGTAGTTTTTATTTTTTATTTTTACTTACTCCATTAAGTTAGAGTTTCTTATTTTTACTATTTAAATATGAATTAGAGTTTATCTTAATTAAAATTAAATATTTTTTATATTTTCAAATATTTAAATATTTATTTTTTAATTATGAGTTAAATTTTGTTAAGAAATATTTTGATGAAAATATTTAAATTAAAATTAAAACTAATTAAATAAATATATATTTTATAATATTTTTTATAAAGCATCATCAAATTTAATTTGTTGACGAGAAACTGATATAATTCAGAGTTGTTGATGTTTACATCAGATGCATTTGAAGAAGCCAATCCATATACTTCCTTTCCAGTTACAAATATGTCAATTGTTTCCATATCTATAAATCTCAACATTTACATCAATAGATTCAATAATAATTGATTAACAAGGATCGCATACAAAGTGAAATTCTCACATTTTGACAAGGAGCAAAACCAAAAACAAAATTAATCTTTTTCTTTGTCTGAGGCCTACTACCAAAGTTCTTCAAAGCAACGGAGAAAGGATTATGGTGTCCCAAATCAGTATGGGAAAAATACAAAGCAAAGAACTATTGTTAATTAAACGGTTTTGTTCATCAACTGATGTAAACATCAGCAACTTCAAATTATATCAGTTTCTCCTCAATAAACTGAATTTTATGATGCTTTATAAAAAAATATAAAAGATATATTTATTTAATTAACTTTAATTTAAAAATATTCACATCAAAATATTTCTTAACAAAATTTAACTTATAATTAAAAATAAATATTTAAATATTTTAACATATAAAAATATTTAATTTTAATTAATATAAACTCTAATTTATATTTAAATAGTAAAAATAAGAAACTCTAACACCATAGCTTTTTAACTCATTAAACTAATATGTATTAAATTACATTATTAGTTCTTATAGTTTTATTTTTTTAAAAATTTTAGTGTATTTTTTAAAATATATTTTATAGAGATGTGCGCTTCATAGAACATGCTTCCTAACACCTCAACGAAGGCGCTCTCCCCAGGACACTCTTTTTCGCCGTGTGTACAAGGCGCGTTACCACAAACACGTCTTTTTTGTCTCGATTTTCAAAAAAAAAAATAT